ACAGAACGCGGGCCCGGCGGCCTCACAGCGAATCAGTCCCACCAAACACCTGGGAGCGATCATCAAACCTACACCTCGTCTTCGAGAAGTAAAGCTCGGCCCTGTCCTGACGCCGAAACCGGACGAAGGCACGCCAAGAAAACTACAGTAACCCACCTTCGTGGGCAGGGGGCAGGGCTCCTTCAGAAAACATTAAGGACACACCAAATCCAGCAACTCGGGGGAGCCGTGCGCAGCGCACAGTGACTGAGCAGGGCGTGCCAGGGCAGCCAAGGGTGGGTCGATGGCCAAGCGCCACGGACACAATTCGCCACCCGAGTGAAGGTCAGGAAGAGACCCACGGAACCAGGGGCGAGCAAAAGACACTATTAACTCAAGCCTCTTTCATGGTTAAAAAGGAACGAAAGCTGGCAACCTATTTGGCCACCAGGAGTTAAACATGCACCTCTCCTGTGACCACGTCCCCTGCACATGGGTGGTCACGGCAGCCCAGCACCATGGGCACTTGGGGCACAGTGACAATACCCCCCCACTCCCAGTCACCTGCATGTCTGCTGCCTCCCAGCTACCTGGGCAAGAGCAGGGATGGGCTGGGGGAACAGGCACTCAGGGGGCTACAGAACCAGCACCCCCCCAACTGAGCCAACCGTGTCTCACCCCAAGGTGCATGGGGCACAGTTTACACACCTCTCGTTAAGGCTGTGCCCCAGGAACCTGGTGTACAGACTCTTGGGGCATCAGGGCCTGGGAGGCTGAAACACGACGCTACACAGAAGCTCTGCTGGCCCCCCGAGTTTGTCAGCTGTAGCCGAGGACTGGGGACCTGGGGAGGCCACCCCTGCTGGCCCTCGGGCACCTCCTGGGACTGGCACCTCCTTCACCCACCAGTGCTGCTGGGGTGTTGTTTTTAAAGGGAAGTTACATCCCCAACCCAGCCCCTATCCTGCCGGTCCCACAACTTGGGTCCCACCCAAGCCAGGTCAGGGACAGACGCCCCTGTTCCAGGGCCTCACATGGGTTGGGCTGAGCTTGAGCAGTGGCGACACCCCGGCCCAGACCAAGAGGCAGTGTGGGGCGGGTTACCTTCTGATCCCTTCTCCGTGGGACCCCAAATGACAGCCCCCTGAGTTCTGAGCCTTGGGTGGCGTGGTCCCTGACGCCAGGCAGCCCTCCGGCCGAGCAGGCAGGTGGCCTTGCCGGAGGGACCACAGCCACGGGCCAGGCCCTGCCCCGGAGGCCCGGCCGAAGCCATCAGATGGGACAGCAGCAGCACTGACCTGCGAGGCGGCCCACGGGGCCTGGCCCGGGCAGGGCTCGCACACACACCTGCCAGCTGCTGCAGCACCCGGGAGCCTGGGGCAGACCGGGGACAGCTGTGCGCTCACTGTGTCCTGTGTCAGGACGCAGGGACGGCTGGGCTGAGGCTAAGTGTCCCCAAGGGCTCATCGTCACCCAAGTCCCTAGGCCCATCCCATGGAGCTGGAGCTAGAGCTCAGTGACAGACACCCGAGTCCCCTGCCGGCAGAGTGGCTTACAGGGGACAGTGGGCAGACCCAGGGAGCTGACTGTCCCCTGAGAGGGAGCAAGACCACACAAGGCCACCAGCTCACAGGCCACCAGGAACACCCCCGGGTGGCTCCACCAGGAAAGGGTTAACGTGGCGGCCCCTGCTTGTGTCTAAGGAGGGAGTCGTGTGTTTGTCCCGGGCTTCCACAGGGGCTGGCATCAGCCTTCCGATCGATACCTGCCCCGCCCGCAGTCTAGGCATGGGGGGGAATGTCGGCTCAGGGCCCGGGGGGTGAGGAAGGGGGTCAGACAGAGGAAGGGGGCCCTCCCTGCACAGAACAGGGGAGGGGACCCCGGTTGGCACCACATCCACCCCACCATGCCTGTCAAGCTCACCTCCCCTCTTGCTGCCTCACCTCCAAGGGGCCAAGGGTCAGCTCCGGTGACGGGCCACGCAGCCGTGATCAAATACTTGGTCAGGGTCCCCCAATGTGAGGGCAGGGGCCACACCCTCCTCAGCCACCATGACCTGTGGTCTGTGGCTGCAGACATGCCCAGGGGTCTCGGAGACCACAGGGACAGACCCCTTACTGTACCAGGGTGCCTGCCCCCTGTACCCACCCACCACAGAACCAACACTGCCCCCCCGGAGCCTCACTGCCTTGACCTGCACACACCGCTAAACTCTCAAGCCCCTGGGAGCTGGAGAGCAGCTGCCCTGAGCCCCAAGCTGTGCCCTGCAGAGGAGGGGGATGCTGTGGGATGGAGCGGGGAGTCCCCACCAACACCCCCCACCCCAGTCAGGGCCTTCCTGGTGGCATCCTCATCCTGCCTGACATCACCAAATCAGTGATGACCGACTGTCCTTTGATGGGGCCTGGACACATTACTGTGGCGTCTGCATTGACAGACGAGGATGGCCCAGGGACGTGGGGGAGGGGGGAGGGGGGAGACAGATGCACCAGCCAGGCCCAGGCTGGAGACAAGTCTGGGCCGCTGGGTCAAAGGCGAGTCGCGTTATCTGTGACACTGAATTCCTTGACTTCAAAACAACAGGATGGGCCCAAAGGCGCCGCCAACTGCTCCCCACGAAGAGGAGGGTGCAGAAGGGGTCACGGCGTCCACGCTTCCTGCAGTGGTGCTGGTCAAAGACCCCTGAAGGTCACTCAGGCCAATCTAGCTCTTAGCAGGAAGGGAAACTGAGGCCAGAAAGGAGAAGGGCCTTCTGAGTGTCCTCAGAATGTTCTAGATCCCACCAGCCCAAAGACAGTCCTGCCCAACCCCTGTCATGGGCCCTAGGCTGCCTGGCCACCAGAGGCGGGTGCGAGGATGTTCCAGGCCTGGCCAGCCCAAGGCCCAAAGGGAGCCTGGGATACGGGGCCAGCACCTGAGGGGCAGCCAGCCTCTGGGGACAGGCCCTTCTCTGCCTGCTCGGCCCCACGGCCCCTCCCCCTATTCCCAGCATGCCCGATGCCCAGCGATGCCAGCAACGTCACTGCCAATAACCTAGATTTTAACCAAGAATTACACACCCCCTCCCTGCCCCACTTATGGTCTCGCTGAGGAGAAAGCCCAGGCCGGAGCACCCTGGGCCAGCTGGAGGCAGGACCAGCCCCACCCCCTGCCCCCTCTGCTCTCCCAGACTCCCACCACCCGTCCTCCCTCCAACATCTCAGGGAGATGCAGGCTCCCTCCCGTCCCCCGAGACCTGGGCAAGCCCTGGCAGGCATGCAGCCTTGGACCAGAGCTGCGCCCCTGGCGAGGTGGGACTCACACCCTTGTCTGAGTTCTGGGGTGGGGGTGCTGGCGAGAAAGTACCTCAAGACTGTGGGGCAGCCCGGCCTCCCAAGCCCCCATGCTGGCCTTTCTGTGGCCACCATCCCATTGGCTCCTCAGAAGCCCCTAGGACACAGGTGGGCCACCGCTGCCCAGGCTCATCCAACCTGAGCAGCAGGGTCTCCAGCTCCCAGCTACCCCCTCAACCAGCGTCTCTCACTCCCCCGAACACACCAGGGCCCGTGCAGCCTGCCTTTCTGTGGGAAAGGGAGCCTTAGGAGCTGCCCAGGCTGGGGCTCCCCATGGCTGTCAGCACGCCGCAGACCCCAGGAGGCCCCGCCAAGCCTGAGCCCCACAGGCCTCAGCAGGGCCAGGCCACTGCTGGCTGGTTTCCTAGCAGTGGACCCACCAGAGCCCTCCTGTCCTCTGCCACTGAAAGCAAGAGCCAGGTCCAGTCACGGTGGTCAGCCTGCTCGGACCCTGTAGGGTTCCCGCACGTCTGGGGAAATGCATTGAAATGAAGTAACGCCTTCTAGGGAAAAGCCACCCCCAGAGCCCCTTAGAGGGAGCCAGGCTGGCCAGACAAGGAACCGAGGCCCGGCTTCCAGTCCCTGGCAGCTCCTGGGGACCCAGCTGTCCCAAGGGCCTGGCCCCCTCTGTCCCTGCCTCCCAGGACTTATGCAGGAGCCCCTGCCAGGAAGGCGAGGAGCGGACGAGGGAGAAAGAGCAGAGGTGGCAGCACCTGCCTCATTGGGGCGCAAGCACATGGTGGGGGACAGGGAGCAGAGTCCCTAGCTGCCCCTCAGGCCCCCAGCGCTGGGACACCACTCCCCACCGGCACAAGTGTCCGGATCCAGTCCACTGGACATGGGCCCCACATGCAAATCAGGGCAGGCAGTTGGCCCAGGCACACGGCCAGTTTTCAGGGAACATAGTAGGCGGGGGGACACCTGATCCGGGGCCCCAACTAGGGGACCCTCTCCCCAACAATTTCTGAGCCATCTCCCGGGCCTGAAATGAAGTCTGCAGCACCAGGCCTCTCGGATGTGAGCGCCTCGGGCTTGCCGTCCCTAGTGAGGGAGCCCCCTTCAACCTGTGGGCAGCTCGTTGGGTTCGGTGGGCGTGCTCTGGCTTGTCCCTTGGTGCTAGGCCCAGGGAGGTGGCCGCAAACAGGACGGGCCCAGGGAAATCTCTGGACTTACTAGGGGGGTGGAAAGGGGCCGGGGGCCTCGAGGAGTCAGGCCCTCAGACAGGGATGCCGAGCCTTCAGCAGGCGAGGGACTGGCTCGGGTCTCACGACACCCTGTGCGCCCTCCGGCAGGTCCCTGGTCCACTGGGGCCCTCGGTCTCTTCATCCATCCAGCGAGAGCCGGGGCCCACTCCTCCGTGCTACACTAGCTTCCAGTGGGTTTCACTCAGCTACACACCTTCCCCCAGCCTCTCGTTTCATCCAGGATCAAGTTTAAACTTAGCAGAGGCCCTGGAGGACTCACTTAGGACAGGTCCTGTCTCAGCTCCTCCTAGCTCATGCAGTCTGGGTTGGGGGCTCCCCCTCCCACACCCCCGGCACTGTGGCCTCCCAAGGCGCTCCGGACGCCATCTGCCGGAAGTCCCAGCAGGGCCGTGAGCTCCACGGGGAAGGGGTCGGGTGCGTCTCGGTGCCCACACGGGGCCCAGAGGGTCTCCATGCCTGCTGGTGGGTGGCCGTGCCACCTTACCTGCGTAGCTGCCGGCGGCCTTGACGTACACCTGGCCGTACTGCTCCTCCGCCATGGTGTCATAGGCCTCGTCATCGTCGTCCTCCTCGTTGTGGTAGGAGGTGGGGCTGTCGGTGGTGGGCAGGCTGCTGGCCCCCGGGCTGGTCCGCTCCCCCTGGGAGTAGGGTACCTGCTGGATGCTGGGGATGAGGGTGGCCAGGCTGGGCACCCCGTAGTAGGAGACCCGGGGCAACTTGAGAGGGGCCGCGCCGGCCGCCATGGCAGCGCCCACTGCCACCGCTGCGCCATCCCGCGGCCCAGATTCCAGCGGGCGCTTGGGCGCCAGGCCCGGGCCAGTGGCCGGCGGCGGCTCTGTGGCTTCGTGCTTCACGCGGGTCAGCAGCGGGATGGGCACAGAGGGGGACACGACGTAGGGAGGCCCGGGCGCAGCCGGCTGCAGCTGGGTGCAGGGGCTCTGGGGCTCGGAGCTGGCATCCTCCATCACGGCCGTCTGTGAGTCGCAGTGGGGTGAGCTCACCTTGAACATGAGGTCGGTGCCGCGCTCCACGATGTGCTGGATCTGCAGGAAGCCGGCCGTGTACATGACCACGAGCTGCTCGCTGGCCGCCATGGTCAGCCTGCCCGTGTAGCAGAAGGACAGGATCTGCTGGAAGCAGGCGGGCGGCACGCTGCCCGGCAGCTCAAAGGCGCTCTTGCTGTTGCCGCTGAACAGGTCACGGAAGTAGAGGCTGCTGGCGGCCAGCACGGCCCGGTGGGCCTTGAAGGCCTGGCCCTTGACCACGATGGACACATCGCAGTAGAGGCCCAGCAGGCGCTGCTCGTTGAGGCAGCCGAGCACGGTGTTCCCGAAGTTGGGGATCTCAATGTGCAGCATCTGAGACATGGCGGGCAGGCTCGTGGGCGCCTCAGACTCTCAGCGCGGGAGTGGCCCCAGCAGGCACATCTGGGGGAGAGAAGGCGAGGGGGCACCACGGTCAGCTTCCTGGACGCCCAGCACCCACCTGGAAGGGCCAGGCCCCGAGCATGCTCCTAAAATATGCTCTACCCCAGCACAGTCCCTGTCAGTCACCCCCAGACCCCACCGGCCAGAACAGTCCCCAGGTCTCGGGGCAACCTCGCTCACATGTGATCCTGGCAGAGCCAACACTCAGAGCTGAACAGGACGCCAGAAGCCCAGAGCCGCATGCTCGGCCAGAAAAGGGCCCACACCACCCCTGAGGCGCCCCGTGGAGGGGGGGGGGACTGAGCCTCAGGCCGCCGCCGGAGATGCCTATCTCGGCAGAAGGCAGAAGAGAGGCCTGCACCGCAGTGGGGACGGGGGAAGGGGACGGGCTGTCAACCCGGAGCGGCTGGGAGGGGCGAGGGAGGGCACTGGCTGGCTCGCACAACTCTTTTCCCCAGAAAAAGTTCGCAGCAGAGAAGCCCCTAGTTGCCTCTCCCCAGGGAGGGGCCGAAACCCAGAGTGAGGGAATTCGGCACCCCCAGGGGGCCGCACGCACGGGGTCTTTTCCCAGGGTCTGGGTTTCTAGTTTGTTTTTCTTCTTTTTTTTTTTTCAGAGCAGCAGCGCAGGGCTGCGGGGAGGGGGGAGCGGAGGGGGGGTGCCTGAGGAGTTAGTGAGATGGGAGAACTCGGAAGCTCAGGTTCCACCACCTCTGCCCCCCTCCCTGTCCTGCAGAGGGGACCTCCAGGGCCAGCAGGGAGCCTGGCGTAGCCCCCCCCACCTCACCCCAGCTTCCATCACGGGCCAATCCCTTTGGCTCCTTCCAAGCTCAGGTGACTACAGAGGTCATGGGGAGATGGGGAGATGGGGAGCAGGAACGGGCCAGGCTGGCGATGCTGCCGGGCACCCCGGGGCTGGGGCTGGGGCTCTGGCACTGTTGATCCCGTGCCTGATTCCGAGAAGGGGGGCCGGGCTGGCCGGGCCGAAGGGGGAGCCGGCTGAACTCTGTGCAGCCAGAGCCGCACAAAGGGCCGCTCTGTCCCGCAGGAGGAAAGTGCCGGCCGCAGAGGCGCGAGGAGACCCACAGCGGGGGGCAGAGTGAGGGCGGAGCACCGGGCACCGAGACAGAGTTAGGCAGGTGGGCGCCACTGGGGGAGGCCCGCAGTGCCCCTGCTGCGGAGAAGTTGCCAGCCAGGCAGGGCGGCACTGGCCAGAGGGGAAGACCTACCTTTGGCGGCTGCCGCTGGTGGCCCCGCACTGCCTGCTCAGCCTGGCAGGGGCAGGCTTGCCCGCTTGCCGGCCGCCCGCAGCCGCCAGCTGCTCCGGGAATGCAGCAAACGGAGCGGGAGCCCTTGGGGTGGGGAGGGCGAGAGGAGCCCGGAGAGGAGAAGGAGGAGGAGGAGAAGCGCGAGGGGGGGAGGGGGGCAGAGAGTCTCAGCGCCGGGCTGGGCGGCCGCGGCTCAGCTGCACCAGCCTGGCTCTCCCGGGCAGCGCACAGCATCTAAATGAAGAGGCCGGATGCAGACGGACATCCAGGCAGCTCCCGGGAATGAATAGCCGCCTTTGATTTGGGAGCCGAAGTAAATGCCAGCTCCCAGCCCCGGCTTTGAAAACAGCGGAGCGCTGGTGCCAGAGGAATGCGCGGCTCCGGGTGTTGGTACAAGACAGACTTTTGATGACTCACTGCAATGCAAACAAAGATGGCAGAAATACTGTACTGTACGCGGAGAAACGCTTCGTGGTGCCGGCAACCGAGCCAGCCTGGAAATTTATAGTGCAGTTTTGCATATGAATTGCCCAGTAAACTGCCGCCTGCCATCCAGCACAGCCCGGGTGTCAAAGCATTTAAACTATTCCAAACAGTCTGCGGAGCTGGCAGGGCCTCGGGCGGGCGGGCGAGGGGGCCAGGGGTGGGGTGGACAGGGCAGACTCTGGGCCAAGAAGGGGGTCGGCGGGAGGGATGAGAGTGAGGCAGGAACTGGAGAGCCGGGGGCCAGGGAAGGGTCCAGGATGAATGTGGAGACCAAGGTTGGCACCCTGCGGGGGCCCCAGCCCCCATTTCTGCTTCTCCCTGGGGTCCCCGAGCAGCAGGCCCAGCTAGCCCAGCCCCACATCCACAGCCCACCAGCCCAGGGTAGTCACTCTGTGCCCCAACCCCCACTGGGTCAGAGTTTAAAGAAGAGCAACTTCATGCGCCAACCATGGGCCCCCAAAGGCGCAGCCCAGCCCTGGAAGGACCTGCCCCAGCAGAGATGGCAGCAAAGACCCCCCCTGGGGGGAGGGGACAGAGTGGGCGGGGCTGCCCTGAGGCCCACAGGGCCTGGCCTCCCCGAGCCTCGCCCTGCGGAGAGGCGGGGCTCGCACTCTGCAAGGCCGTCCTGCCCGGGAGCAGGGCCACCTCCTTCTAGGCTTAAGCTACCACTGCTGGATGGCGCTGCCCCTGGGCAAACCACTGGCCTGCCCGGCCTGTTTCCCCACATGCCACCCACTGTGACCCTAGAAAGAGCGTATGTAGCCCACAAGAAGGGCCAAGGTTGAGACTGGAGGTGGCTGAGGTCTGGTTCCCCACAGTGACGTATCCCTGCCATCACCTATCACCTGGGCATTCACCTTGGTGGCTGGAGCAGGGAGGAGGCCGGGGACAGGCAGCAGTAGCAGCAGCAGCACCACCCTTCGCACTCCCCACGCACCTGGTGCCCCCCCATCCACACACCGCAGGCTTGGACACAGGGCAGGTGAATGGGGCAGGAGGAACCTGGGGCAGCAGCCAGCAGAGGGTCCTGAGGGTGGGGGTGGCCCTGCGTTTCCCACACGGGGCTCCTGACAACTGATGGGTCACACGAGAGAAAGACCAGGGCATTGGCAAACACGGTCCCTGCTCAGCTGCCCTGAGCACCGGCGGGCTGTACCACATGCCCACCCAGCCAGACAGGGCCACACCAGGAAACGGAGGGGCACCCAGAGACTAAGGGACAACAGACCTATGATAGGGATGGGGGGAGTGGGGGCAACCCCGGCCTGGGGGCAGGATTCACAGGGCGGGTGGGGTTGGGGGCAGGAACCAGCCTCCCAGCTCCCACGGGAGCCCTCCCCTGCACAGAGGCCCCAACCTGCAGGCGCAAGCTTCCTGGGCACCGCCTGGGGGCTCTGCAAATGCACCTGTGAGCTCAGCGAGAGTGGGTGTCTGTGCAGGGCCTAGCAAGTGGTCAGCCTAACACCGGGTGGGGCTGGAGAGAGTGAGTGGACACAGCCGCGCTGCCCGCAACTCCCAGCACTGCGGGAAGGGGCCTCCCAGAGAACACAGTGGGGTCACCTGAGCCAGACTGGGGGTCTCCAGTCGTGACAGGGAGGGGGCACCCAGCCTGGATGGGGTATGCAGAGGTCAGCAAAGGTGCGCTCTGCGCTGGCTCCCCTAGGGTCCCGGCGGCCGGGGGCTGGACGGGCCCGGTGGTGGGGTCCTAAATGCAGTGGGGGCAGCACAGAGCCCCGAGCACCTGTTCCTTCCAACAGCGGGTCCCCCCGGGTCCCACCCCTACATGCCAGGCCCAGCCCCAGCCATCTCACATCCACATCCTGTGGCCCCCCAAGCGAATGACACAGTGCCCAGGACACTCATCTGTTGGCTGGGGGTCAGGTGCAGCCTGGGGCAGAGACCGGGGTAGGGTCCAGGGAGATGGTATTGGTAAAGCCCGCGGCTGGAGCGGGCACATGCTCCACCTGGTGAGCTGTTACCTGCCCTGACCTGGATGGGAGGGCGAGGGTCCAGGCCACACACACCGGCCTTGGCCCTGCATTTCAGGGGCCCGTGCCCCGGGGCTGGGGCCAGACCACTCGCCCAGAGAAGGGACCATTATTCCCCTGGAAGGTGACAAGGCGGTCTGGGTCCCTGGGGACCGAGGACAGCTGGCGCTGTCGCTGCTGTGTCCTCAGGCCACCTGTGGGGGTGAGGCTGGCGCCCCACAACCAGGCCCATGGGAGCCTGCTGCAAGCTGGTTTTAGGTTGCTTTCTTAGAAGCCCTGGCTGGGGCGGGAACAAAGCTGAACTTTAGGAGAAAAGAATAAAATAAAGGCTTGGTTTACGGCCTGGGCCCGCGAAAGCAGGACGCGCAGGGGGCCGACCCTTGTGCGGAAGCCAGCGAGAAGAGGGGGCCGGGGCCGGGGCGCTGGGGACAGCCGCCTGCCAGGGAAAGAGGCACCTCCTCACCTTTCCCTACCTGGTGGGGCCCCGCCTGCCCTGGCCACCTTGTCCCTCTGCGCCTCTGCATCCCCACCCTGCCTCCATTTCCCAAGCAACACCCCCTGTTCTATCCCTGTGTGAGCTTGACATGCCTGTGAGAGCCAGGCAGGGACCCCGAACTCACTCCGCTGTGGCCCTCACGGCTGCTGTGCCTCAGACCTCACCCCCTGGGAAGGCCTTTCAGAAGGGGACCCCCTGCTGACAATGCAAAGCCAGAGTCCAGCCCCCAACCTACAACTGGGACTTCAAGAATTCCCCCCCAAATGAGAAAATGCGGGTGGCCAGGGCGTCTCTTCTCTGGACCTTCCCTCTGGACAGCAGCCAGGTCCCCCAGCCCCCGCAGGCAGTGCAGCCCCCGCAGAAAGGGGACGGGGCGCTGGCCCCAGGAACAGCAGACAGCAGGGCCTAGAGGTCAGCCGGGGCCAGAATCCCAGAAGCCCAGCCAGACGGCCCGCTGCCCCCCACCCCCTGCACCCCCAGATTCTAAACCACTTCCTGCAGCGAATGCACAGCAGGGCCCAAGAACCGCAGCGTCTGACTTCTGCGAGATCGCTACCGGCATGAGCGAGGGAGGCGAGATAAATTGAATTAAATGAAATGATTCTGCAGGATTTAATTTGACCAATCTAATAAGAGGTCTGGACCTGGGTGAACGCACCGCCATTAAAACCACCCGCAACAGGGGAAGGAGGGAGCCAGGTGCACCAGGAAACGGTTTGACTGGAGAGAACGGAGCCCCCGGGCCCCGGGGCAGCCCCTGCCTGG